TATGCTGAACTTTTTTATTCTTTCGCTCTCGCGCGCGCTACAACGTTCTATCTTGTTCCATCTCATTTTCAAACATTATCCTCTCCTTCTTCGTTCCCTAACGCTTCTAAGGTATCGCGCGCCCCCACTTCTTAACCAACGTACATCAGGGCCGCATCGCGGGAGTAAAACGTCACATATTGGGAATCATAAAAAAAGTATCTTCGAGTATGCAACGGCAATCTTGACTTGATAAGCGCATGTGCTCGCAGATGTTGCAGGTGAATTTGCAAGTGAAATTTGACATATCCATCTTATCATTTCGAAGTTACTTAATACTTTTTACGTCGGACGAGAATAAGCTCGATACAGTTATATAGCGTGCTCGAATTCGGATCAAAAATCAGCGAAGCAGCGCGATCGATGCTCATCGTTGGAACCACCAGCGGTACGAAAAGTGAAGGCGGAGGGGAAATTTAAGCGTTGGAGGCGCCTCGAGAGAGTTGCGTGGCTCCGGAACTGCGCGAAAGGAGGAGCGCGGTGAGAGACGCGAAAGGAGGTGAAGAAGGAGGAGAGGAAGGAGGGGGAGGAGGAGGAGGCCGAAAAAGAGGAGGGAAATATACGCATCGCGATGGACTAGGTGGGGATCGCGGCATTGCGTGGTGGCAAAACGCACACTGAGAAGGGAGAGAGGGGGTCCGAGAGGGAGGCTCAAGGTCGCCGTGGGGCCGCACGCGCGCCTTAGCCACGCACACACACGCATACACGCGTATCCCGAGGCGTTGCGCACGCACACGGTGTATATACATCGCTGCAATACGGGCGTGTGCACGGATGCGCGCGCGCGTGCTGCAGCGTAGGTCGCAGGCGTGTGCGTGTGCGTGTGCGCGCGCGTTTGCCAGCGTCGTAATTCGGCGCTCTTATGGCGGCGGTATTATGTCATCGCGTTCGTGCGGCGGAAAAACAGAGCTCTGGTCCTCTCAATCAGAGCTCCTTCTCAAAATTATATACAGGACAAAGGGGGTGTATCAGCAATTCTGCTTTGGACTCCGTCCCAAGAAAGATGCTGCAGATAATAAATGGATACATATCACCTCTTTTCTCGTATTTTTCTCACTCGCCTACGGCGTCTTTATTCGCGTAGAAACTTGGCAAAAAAAAAATTCGACGAAGTGAGCAAAGATAAAAATAGACGCGGCTCCAAATATCCTGCATTCACGTAATACGCATAAGCTTCCGTAATCGCGCGATACCGTAATTCGATATATTCGTCGATGGCAGCCGGTTTGCATGATCGAGCAATGCGAAGCAATCTGCTTCCGCTTCTATAAAAAATTTGGACAGCTTCTAATGAAAAAAGAAAAAGGAAAATAAAGTGGAGAAGCATTTACCTTCATCATAGGGATGGTTGAATACGACGAAACCGATGACGATAGATATTGCCTGGCAAGTTTATGGAAAAGGATGGTTATTCGTGATGTCGAGTGTTAACGCAAACGAGGGGGAGTCTCTTCTGTATGAAAATCGCATATCGTGGCTCGACGAGAAAAACACGCACGGCGCCTGAATTAGTGAATGGTATTTTCCATGGGGCGCCTTTTAGCAATAAACGCGATCGCTGTTATACGCGGTATAATATAGGTATACTAGGAGAAAATCACCTTCGTTGGTTTCTTCCTTTTTTTTTTACTTTCAAGAAGGAAACCGTATTAATGCATTATGATGAATACCAGCCTATCCCGATTCGATTCAACTAAGCAGCACCGCGTGTGCTTGATACGCTCAATGCGCTTTGAGAACGCGCTAGCGCTTTCATAGGAAGTGCCGCCGTTATTACAGTTAAATTGAAGTCACATATGGGGGGATATCAGCGACAATTTAATCGTAAAGATAGATGGGAGTTTCTAGTCTTAATTCCTATAACTATGCTCACGATGTCGAATGCAATAACGCTACTATATTAAAAACATACATTTTCATTGAACTCATCAATCTGTCTAATTAACGAAAATTCACAGCACACAAAATGTAAATTAGCCCGATAGATATAAATAAGGAGAAAATATTATCACGTCTATAACTGACTCAGAAATGATTAATATCAAAAATAAAATGTGAAAAATAAATTCTGTGGAGAAACTGCTTTAGAAAAAATATTCATAGCCCAGATAGCACACAATATTTACAAAGTATTTGTAAATATTTATAAGACTTATTTTAAATATGTTATAAATATTTTTGGGTCTTAGATTGCACAGATTATAAATATTTATTATAAATATTATGAAATATTTATTGTAAATGTTGCAATAAAAAAGTTATGAAAATACTTAAAATAAGATATTATAATCCAAATAAAAATACTTACTAGTAATACTATTTATTTATATTTATCATAAATATCACATATTTATATAAAATATGTATAAAATATTTAT